CAATGATTGATGTATTAACACCCCCACCCCCACCCCAACACACACACTGAAGGGGATGGACAACAGAAACGTGGGTACAGGGAGACAGCAGATGGTGTAAGATAAGAAAATAATAATTTATAAATTATCAAGGATTAAGGAGGGTGGGAGAGTGGGGGAGGGAAAAGAAGAGGAGCTGACACCAAAGGCTCAAGTAGAAAGAAAATGTTTTGAAAATGATGATGGCAACATATGTACAAATTTGCTTCATACAATTGATGCATGGATTGTTATAATAGCTGTAAGAGCTCACAATATAATGATTTATAAAAAAAAGAAGATGTTTGCCACAGATTTGACTAGTACAACATGAAAATTGGTTTCTTGACTCTCCTTTGTTTGTGGTAATTTGGTGCAACAGCCACAGAAAAATATACCCCTATCAAGTCTAAGAAGAATGGAGAAACCAGGATGTGTTACACTGGCCTGGTTGTCCAGAGGAGTTAAAAGTTCAATTATGTTCCCTATCAATACAAATGCTATCTAATGTTTTTTAGCTGATCCAGCTAAAAAACTGGTAACAGGTTGAAACTGGTAACATCAAAGTGTCAAGTATGAAATATCCTCTAAAGCCCAAAGTGTTTGTCATGTTATTTATTTACTTCCATGTATGCAATCCCTCATTCAACCTGGACCCGCCACAAAGGGAGACAGAAAGCTTGGAGATTTTTATTCTTTCACATCCTAATGCAAACTAGAAGAACAACAGTCAATTGTCCCAGGTCTATTAGTGGGTGCTGATGCTATTTTTTAAAAACAAATTGTGTTACAGGAGTTTACTGTTCTAGGTTGTTGTTATTGCTGGTGTTAGGTGCCATCCAGTTGGTTCTGACCCATAGCGATCCTAGGCACAACAGAAGGAAACACTGCATGGTCCTGTGCCATCCCTCCAATCGTTCCTGTGCCTGAGCCCATCTGTTTTAGGTGCGCGGTGGGAATTCAGTTTCAGTCATTACTGGGGAATAGTGGAAATGCCCGGAAGCCTTGTGCATGGCCTCGACCTTGTGTCCTAGCAGTCACTGCTGATACGCTTGGTGACCAAGCCTCTGCAGCCTTGGAGCAAATGTTCTGCAGCCTCTGTGTCCGTCTGGCTCATGAGAGCACACACGGTGCTCTGGCAGAGCCTCACAAGCTCCTGCCACCCTGTGGAGCCCCGCAAGAGGCAGAGGCCCCATAGATCACTGTGCTTGATCTGTTCCACCCTAAAGGACATTTTCAGTTGATTCCTCCCCTTTCTCCTCTTGCTTCTTAAAACTCACCTCTTCTCCCATCTCCAAATGATGCTGAATAATTCCTTCCAGTGAGGTCAGGCTTTTCCACAACTGGAGCCAAGGGAGGCGTTGTTCTTCTGATGGCTTCAATGATGTTCTTGTTGATCCAGAAATACCCAAGCCCCCGATGGAAAGGAACACAACAGCGAGGTGATGTTCAGGGAAAAGGAGGCACCCAATGCCTACTTATCACAACAAAGCTGAACAGAGATAAGTAGCTAATTCCCAAGACTGCCTTCTCAGCCCGGGACCTGCTTGCTAACACGCAGGTATCATAGTCTGAAGGCTCTCCTGACTCCTTTGCAGTCACAAAGTGAGTGGGTCTCCAACTCCTACCTGAAGCTCTTGAAGTGCTGGTGTGAATCGTGGAGGAGCAGCACATGTGATACGGAGATGACAGAAGAGGGGTAGGAGGTAGAGGTGTAAGACTTTACACATCAATGTTTTCACACACACACACACACACACACACATTTCATAGGTTAGTAAATACATAAAAAGTTCTCAGGTGTAAGATTAAGTGGTGTTGGTTTCAATGGAGTTAAACTTTTTTTAAAAAATGCTATTGGTCTTCACAGAGCTGTCAACATGCTACCGTGCTATGGGACTGTCTAAGGGGGTGGTCACATATGGAGAGTTTTCTTTTTTAGTTTCAAACTTGAGCAGTTTTATTGACACATAATTCTCCTATCATACAGCTTATTGGTTTAAACATATTAAGAGTTGTGCAGTTATCACCACAATCAATTTTAAAGCACTCCTCTTTCTTTTAAAAATCATTTTATTGGGAGCTCGTACAACTCTTATCACAATCCATACACCATCCATTGTGTCAAGCACAAGTACATTTGTTGCCATCATCATTCTCAAAACATTTTCCTTCTACTTAAGCCCTTGGTATCAGCTCCTCATTTTTACCCCTCCCTCCTCACACTCCCTCCTTTATGAATCCTTGATAGTTTATAAATTATTATTATTTTGTTATGTCTTACACTGTTCGATGTCTCCCTTCACCCACTTTTCTGTTGTCCATAACCCAGGGAGGGGGTTATATGTAGATCCTTGTGATCAGTTCCCCTTTTCTACCCCACCTTCCCCTTACCATCCTGGTATCTCTACTCTCATTATTGGTCCAGAGCAGTTTATCTGTTCTGGATTTCCTGTGTCTCCAGTTCTTGTATGTACCCGTGTATATCCTCTGGTTTAGCCAGATTTGTAAGATAGAATTGGGGTCATGATAGTGGGGGGGGGGGGAAGGGGAGGAGGAAGCATTAAAGAACTAGAGGAAAGTTGTACTTTTCATCAGTGCTATACTTCACCCAGACTGGCTCGTCTCCTCCCTGAGACCCTTCTATAAGGGGATGTCCAGTTGCCTACAGATGGCCTTTGGGTCTCCACTCTGCACTCCCCTTCATTCACAATGATATGATTTTTTGTTCTTTGATGCCTGAGCATTCCTCTTCCTTTTACTTTTTATTATTAGCTTATAACTCTAAAATTATTAATCTAGTCCCAATAGATTTACATACCCTGGATTTCATCTAAAGAAAACCATATAAAAACAAAACCCAGCAACAACCCAAAAACAAAGAAACCCAACAGCAATAACAAAAAACCTGAGAAAAATTCCAATAAAAAAGCAAATAGTGATGAAAGCTAGAACAAGTTTAAAATGGGTCAAAAGGGAGAACAACTGATAAAGTGCTAAATGTACCCTAACTATATCTGCACCAATTCCCTTACTGATGCACTTAGTCTGATAGCAAGGCTGTTCACATTCCTGGTCGTGGTCAGAGGCTTAGTCCATGCGGGGAACCTGCAAAAAGATTTGGGGCTTCTGTAGCCTTTTGCAAACTGGGTGTTCAGTTTGTAAGCTCAATTACTGTTCTATTATCTGCCCTTGATTTTGTTATTTATAATCACACAGGCTGGTGGGCTTCCTCCATGTGGACTTGGCTGACACATCAGTTAGATAGCTGCTTGTTTGAAGACAGACTTTTAGGTCCCAGATGCTAGCTATTCTTTCTGATAGCCAATTTCTGATTCTGAATTCGTCAGAGTTCTTCACTACACTCTGCTAGAGCATACCTGTCTTCAGTGACCTCTCCACGAAGGCAGGCATTGAGAAGGACCATATCATAGGAACCACTTTTTCTTATATTTAGGGCTATGATTAAATGTGAATTCAAAATCCACTCATATATCCATGGGTTATATATGTTCCTGGTCCACATTAGAGATATAATTATCATTTTACTGGGGAACATTATAAGTCATCCACATGGAATGTCTGGTAATTCTGTTGATGTATCATTAATTTAGCCATGAAATTTAACACACTATTTAAAAAAGGAAATATACGTGTATAGGGCAACTTTAAAAAAATAAAATGCATAGATTAAAGTTTAGTGGGTGGACACTTTATGCAGACATCAAGGGTTGGAGCTGGGACAAAACTGTCAATAACGGTCACTTGCTAAGGTAGAATCTGCCTGCTGCACTGCGTCGTGTTACAAAGCAGCAAAGAAAGTACGAAAATGAGAAAACCCTCAATGTGTGGCTGTCTCAAGTCGTCATTGATTAGGTGCCTGCAGAGCAAGAGGTTTGAACCCAAGTCCAAAGACTTCCACAGTCACATATAACCTTGGGATGGTAGTCACCAGCTTCTTCTCACATTTGGGGTTTCATCCTTAAATCCAAGGGAGTATTTTTGTTCCTTTAATCTGCTACAGGTATTTAAGGTGAAGTCCATTTTTGCCTAGTGCGATTCCTAGTCAGATCCTTCTGGTGTGACCGATGAAGGATCTGTGGACCTCAGAAGGATAAGGTCGAAAGTCACTTTGTCTATAGCTCTCGGCGGCCTGGGTCACCAAGCGCTGGATAGGTAAAAAAGCTAGGTTTTGACCTGGATCAGTTAGGTCAAAAAGTGTCCAGTTAGGAACAAAATACTAAGCCTATTCTCCTTTTAGGGTCTATATACGTATTGTTAAGTAATTTTGCCTATGGTGGGCTGTTTCCACCTAGTTTACCCACCAAAAGAAGTGAAATCACCTTCTCTGACATACACGTACCCCACCCTTCCCATGTCTAGATTCGAATTTCCATTAAGGTTCACTGAGATACCCTTATAGGGCATCTGCTCATTTGGGGGCGATTATGGAACCTATTATATGGATCTGATTAGGCTTCTCCTTCTTCCCTGGACATGATGAACTGACTCCAGCTTTGGTGACACCTCCTTCATCAATGTACTTTAGGCAGCCACACCACCTCGTTGCTTGGGAAAACAGAATAGAAGATTACAGGGTGTGAGAATGGATGCCTGCCTTTGTCTTGGTATTTAGGCTTATAGTAGTGGTCTCATACAATATTTGTCCTTTTGACTCTAAGCTGGAAGTATGCCTGCCAATTTGCATCTAATAAGCCACATTGGCCTCAGTTTCTATACACACCCAGCGGACCCAGGTCAAGTACCATAGAACACTAGGGCATTGATTTCTGGATCTTCAAGGTGCACAACATGCTTTAAAAGAGAGGTATCTGAAGTGGAAACTCCACTAGGTGAACTAGACTCTATCTCAAACACCCCTGTAATCTGAAAACTTAAGAATGAAATTACATGGCATTTGAAGAAACAGATGAGAGCTACACCAAGAGTATTGAAATGTCAGTAGATGGACATTGACTTAGTACCTCAATGCCTTACTTGCTGTATTCAGATATATATTATTCTGGTAGACCTGTGATTGACATTGTCAGTGAATATTATGGCAAATTTTTCCTGACACCCCTGTTATTTGTGTAAACAGCATCCAGCCATGTAAGGACTTATTCATATATACAAGTGAATAGTTCAGGTATTGAGATATGTGGCTGGCCCACACTGATCCAATATCCTTCTCTCAGCAGTGTTTTAAAATTTAGTCCCAGTGGCTAATCAATGACACGATTAACAGAAGAGCTTTATGCTCCAGGGAGATGATTAATAAGATTCTCTACCACAAATTAGCAGGGAGCTCTCTAAGGGGAGCCAGAGACAGATACAAAATATAGACCCAGGAATGGATTTTGGGCTTGAACTTAATCCTAGCTCCAATTTGAGAACAATTAGTACTTATACATGGTCCTGCTTGATACTGACCCTCAAGGAGGAAACGCAGAAGATATGGGTGCTATAATAAAGCGTGGTGAGTAAATCAGATGGTGCCTGGTTATCAGATAGAATAGTATCTGGGGACTTAAAGGCTTGTTTCCAATCAAGCAGCCATCTAAGTGAGATGTCAACTAAGTCCACATGGAACAAGCACACCAACATCCCTGACTAAGGGTCTACACAGGAAACACGCCTCCAGTGGTTTCCGTCTAACCATCATTGAGAGCTAGTAATAGACTCATTGCCAAGCAAAGAGTACTGGAGAGATGACTACGAGATCGCAGAGATGAACCTGACTTGAACGGTTAGAACCTTG